TGCTCCAAGCCCCATCCAACCTGCCCTTCAACACCCCCAGGGATGGGGCAGCCACAGCTTCCCTGGGCAACCTGGGCCAGGCTCTCACCACCCTCACACCAAAGAATTCCCTCCTCATCTCCAACCTAAATCTCCCTCTTCCACTTTTCATCCATCCCCCTCATCCCATCCCTCCCTGCCCTTGTCCCAAGTCCCTCCCCAGCTTTCCTGGAGCCCCTTCAGGCACTGGAAGCTGCTCTAAGGTCTCCCTGGAGCCTTCTCTTCTCCAGGCTGAACACCCCAACTCTCCCAGCCTGGCTCCAGAGCAGAGCTGCTCCAGCCCAAGGATCATCTCTGTGACCTCCCCGGGGTCTGATCCTGCCTTCAGATGGGGATGACACCCCCCTCTTGGGGGTGACACATCCCTGGCACCCGGGTGGCCATTCCCCCCTTGTCCCATCACTCCATACCCTGGTACCTCATCAGAACCCTCCAGAAGGCCCCAGGTTGGTGGCACTGGACATCCCCAGAGCTGCCATCCCTTCTCCTGCCCCACTTGGGCCTTTGTGGCCCCTCTTGGTGCTGGGGTGGGGGTTGGATCCTGGCCCCCCCATCCTGCTGACACCTCCATCCTCTCTCCCTCTTTTCCAGGCAGGTTTCGTGCTGACAACTTGAACAAGCTGAAGAACCTTTGCAGCAAAACCATCGGAGACAAGATGAAGGTGAGGTGGGAAGGCAGGTCCTGGCAGCCACTCACCTCTGGGATGTCACCAACAGGTGACATCTCCCCCAGGGCTCTGCTCTCCAGTCCTCTCCCTCAAGGAATATTTCAACCCTGGACCTTTTATCTCTGACCCTGCTGGGTTTTTTTGTCTCCTCCCTCTGCAGAAGAAGGAGCCAGTGGGGACGGATGAGTCTGTTCCAGAGAGTGTGCAGAACCTCGACGAGCTCACAGCTGATGTCCTGGGGGTGAGCCTGTCCCCAGGTGTCCCCCCTGTGCCACCAACCCACCTGGAGCTGCCCAGGTTGGCAGCAAGAGGTGCCCAGAGCCCCAGCACCCAGTGGGGAGGCCTGGTCTGAGGCCCTGCTGGGAAGATCCTGGTTTCCCCACATCCTCTGCTAGCTCTTGTTCTGTATCCTTCTTCTAAAGACCATTCCCACCCCCTAAAGAAAGACCCTTCCCACCCCCTGAAGACCATCCCCACCCCCTAAAGACCATTCCAGCCTGGTTAGAGGTCTCATCCCACACTTCCTGGTGAGATCTGAGCAGCCTCAATCCTGACATGTCCTCCTCAAGCCCCTCCCTTCCTCCCCACCTCATTAACTGCCCCATCTAACGAGCCTGTCCCCATGGGACCCAACCCCCCCTCCTCCTCCCCATCACCACAGCTCACCCAGGCCCTTCCAAACCCTGACTTCAACCTGTCCTTTGTCCTGGGGGGTGGTTCTTGTTGGGTGTGTCCAGGCCACTGTTTGGGCTCCTTGGTGAAGGCCTCTCCGTGGTGGTTCCTCCTCTCCCAGGCCCTGCAGGTTTCCCAGATCAAGCGGCTGCGGCTGCTGATCGACCAGGCCATCCTGGAGTGCGACGCCGAGCGCCTCAGGCTGGAGGCAGAACGGTTTGAGAGCCTGAGGGAGATTGGGAACCTGCTCCACCCCTCTGTGCCCATCAGCAACGACGAGGTAGGGACAGGAGGCAGCCCTGGGGTGGGTTGTAGCTGAGTGGTCACTGGTGGTGGCCTTGATCTGGCAGGGAGGGTTGGGCTAGATGATCTCCAGAGGTGCCTTCCAAGCAAAGGTTGGTTCCAAAGGTTGGAAGGGACCTCTGGAGATCACCTAGGCCAACCCCAGCCCCCCTGAGTCTGGAGATCACTTAGTGCAACCACAACCCCCCTGGGTCTGGAGATCACTTAGTGCAACCCAAATCCCCCTCCCAGAGATCACCTAGTTCAACCCCCCTGCTAGAGATCATCTAGTTCAACCCCCCCCTTCCAGAGATCACCCACTCCAACCCCCCTGCTAGAACAGGATCCCCTAGAGCAGATCCCACAGGAACACATCCAGAGGGGTTGGGATGTCTCCAGAGAAGGAGACTCCAGCACCTCCCTGGGCAGCCTGTCCCAGGGCTCTGTCACCCTCACAGTCAACAAGTTCCTCCTCCTGTTCAGCTGGAACCTCCTGTGCTCCAGTTTGTGCCCAGTGCCCCTTGTCCTGTCACTGGGCACTGCTGGGAAGAGTCTGGCCCCATCCTGCTGACACCCCTGGAGATATTGAGGAGGGTTGATGAGATCCCCCCTCAGTCTCCTCCTCTCCAGCTGAACAGCCCCAGCTCTCCCAGCCTTTCCTCACAGGCAGGTGCTCCAGTCCCCTCAGCACTTGGGGGCCCTTCTCCAGCTGTGGCCTCACCAGGGCAGAGCAGAGGGGCAGGAAAACCTCCCTGACCTGCTGCCCACCCTCTCCTTGATGCCCCCCAGGAGCCCATTGCCCTTCTTGGCCACCAGGGCACGTTGCTGCCTCATGGTGACCCTGTTGTCCCCCAGGACCCCGAGTTCCTTCTCCCCAGAGCTGCTCTCCAGCTGCTCACCCTGCACTGATCCGTGAGGTTGTTCCTCCCCCAACTCCCCACTTACCCTTCTGGAATTCCATGATCTCTCCCTGCCCAACTCCTCAAAGCCAGACAAACTGGCAGCTAAGGAGGTGGGGGGGGCAGGGGGCCTCACTGCCTGGGAGGGGGTCCCTCCCACCCCAAAAATCATGGAATCTGCATGACAAGAGGGTGCTTCCTGCCGGGAGCAGGACAAAGAGCAGCTCAGACAAGGTTGGATGCAGCCATTGTTGGGAGAACACGTGGGAAAACTCACTTCCAACTGGGAAGGGGGTGGGGCTGGGACCACCCACCCCCCCCTTCCTCCTCCTCCTCCTTTACTCCCTCCCTTCCTCCAACA